CAATCATGAACTCATCGGTTGCATTAACTCGATCTTCATCGAGCATGACTATCATTACGTTTTTTTTTCTTATTGTCTCGTTTTTAATTTTTGACAATATTTCTTGATGTGACCCATATTACCATAATGATAGCACTTCATATTTGCAAACTTACCCCTAGACTTGCTTCTACTCTTGCCTATGCCTTTTGGACCCTTACTTTTACTCATCTTTTCTACGAGTAACTAGCACATTAGACTAGGAAAAAGAATCCGAGTCTTCCTTTTAATCTCTTTATTGAGAACCTTATTTTTAGCATGGGTTAAGGTCATCTTCCCATCGGGAGCGGAATTGCAGTGTGATGAACAGAATGCCTCTCAAGAATCCGATAATGAGCCAAGCAAATATAACCCAATGACCTTATCATCAATTTTTATTTTCATGGTTTTCAATCTGCTAAATAATTTCTACATACTCATTAATGTGATCGACTACGAAGTTCTCTCTTTGTACTCGTAATTCATCCACTCGCTTAATTAAGTATGTCTTATTATTCCCTATTTCTTTAGCAAATAGATCTTCCAAACTTTTTCATAAAGTGTTAGCATTCACCTCTTCCGCAACATGATTAGAAACATTATCATTAATGTATCGACGAATAAAAATACAAAATTGTTCATTCTTAAATTTCTAATCCTCATATGTTTTTATCTCGAGTTTAGCCAAAGCAAATATAAGTACACGCCAACTCTTTACATATAAAAAAATCTTTTATTTTTCTCTTTCATATGTTATCATTTTAATGTTACTCTCTATATTGTTCAAATTAAAAATAAGTAACTAAACTCGATACCACTTGCTAGGCAAAGAAACATAAATAACACAACGAAACCTCTTTACTTGTGCTTGAACAATCAAATAAAGGCTACAATCAAATATCCAAGCCAAAAAAAGTAAACTAATAATCTAAAAAATAAAATACCAATCACACAAGGAACATACAGATTTTATGTGAAAAACCTCCTTAATTTGGGAAGGAAAAAACCACAAGATCGAAGTCCATAATAAGTTTCACAATCAACAATAACGGGTAATACAAAGAATCCTCTCTAGATTAAACTAAAGAAATACATCAGCCATAAATATAAAAGGTTACACATCCTTAGCAAACCACATCAATAGATGATACACAAAGAAAAAAAAAGAAACTAAGTTCATATTTTACCAAAAAAATAGAATTGTTGTGAGTATTATATCTCACTCTCTAAGAATCAAAACCAGATCTCCATTATTCGGAATGTGCATCTATCTCTCCTAAACCTTCCTACCAAAATTGAGCTCGATCCAATGGTTAACAAACCCAAAAACTCAATTTTTATGTGACTGATTTGTGTTAAAACTTTCTTCTCTCTTTCTCTCTAAAGTTGCGGTCGTCACTCTTTTTTTTTTCTTTTTCTCTCTTTTTTCTTCCCTAATCTGATTTCAAAACTAAAGAGAAACGAGGATTTATTTGAAAATATTCAAATTACCCTTCAAGTGATTAAAAATTCTCCACATAGCTCCAAGATTGGGCTCGTGTAGGCAAATCTTTATGTCATCCTCCAAATAAGAGGGAAACCCAACGATGAGCAACCTAATATCTTTAAAACATTTGAGATTCTTAAAACTTGATGATTTCTTAACTTACCAAATACGAGAATGTTTGATATCTTAAATTCCTTTAATTTAAAAAAAAAATTACATTCTCAATTTTCTAAATAATTTAATATTTTGTAACATTTGAGACTTTTGAAAGATCGTGACTTTTTAATTTATAAAAGCAAAAATGTTTAACATCTTAGAACAACTTTTAACATCCTCATAGCAAATACTCCTTAGGTTATATTTGGTACGACGAAAAAAGAGTGAAAAGTTATCCTTGTAAATTTTCACCTCTTTTGTCCTTGTTTGGGAGTAAATTATAAATTAGCCACTCTTGTTTTTTTCAAAAGAATTAGAAAAAGGGTAAAAATAAGTATAAAAAAAAAAAAAAAGATTAATGAGGAAAAAAAGAAACTTTTGATGATAAAATAATATCAAATTAATCATAATCAATATTGATTAAGATACTAAAAGACAATTTAATTTGTTTTGAAACAAAAAGAGAGATTAATTTATAGTTTACTCTTTTGTTTAGTACACAAAATTTGGAGAGGGAAAAAATTATGAATGGTAACATTTAATCTCAAAAATGAGGGTAAGTGTTATTCTCCAAACGTGGAGAGTAAAGAATTTATTAAGGGAGAAAATTTTGTTTTGTTTTGTTTTTTTTTTTTTTTTTTTTTTTTTTTTTTTTTTTTTTGCATTTTTTTTGCATTTTCTTCTCTCTCTTTTTTTTTTTTTAACCTAATACTAATATATTCTATTTTTACTTGCACTTTCCATTTGATGCCACAAATTTATGTTATTTAATTATTTTATTTTATTCAAAATTGATTTTATATATGTTGAGATACTTTATTTCATAATTTTTCCAACTCCTATCAAACATCATTAAAACTTCACCCTTTAAATATTTTCTACATCATTAACCCTTCATTCTTAAAATTTATCCTCTTGATACTTTTCTTTTAAATTTTTCACCTCATACCAAACACAATCTTAGTCTTGTATCAACATCGGCGTTACAACACCCCTTCTTTTTGTATATGCTCAATTTGTTTGTAAAATTAATTAATTTAGCTATTTATTATTTTGTATTAATTCTTTTTTTTTTTTTTTTTTACATGGGTCTAAGTTGCATAACAAATGGATTGAACTAAAAGTAGACCTAACTCAACATAAGGTTTTGGATCAAGGATGGACACTCGATTTTTTGGAAAGGCAATATCTATGTCTTGTATTTGAGATGTATTAAAGAGATTGATTTGATGGGTTTGAAGCAATATCCGTTAAAGAAAACCTCAATTGTTACTTATTTTAATCTCTACTAATAAGTTGCAGCATTCAATCCAAAAAAAAAAAAAAAAGCTGAATCTTTCAAGTCAAATTTGATCGTCTAAACTTAGATGATATATCATAATCCTAGCAATCAAGAACCATCTTTTTGTATTATAAATATCAATCTCGTATCATTATAAGAGGATCAAAATTTTTACGTTAAAGAACTTTTAACTTCATAATTTTCAATCTCCAAGCAAAAGAAACCCTTGAACTCTCTCTCTCTCTCTTAAAATTCTTATATTCACATATCGGACAACACATAAAGTTTTATCTATTTATACTGTGACTATCCACCTATAAGCCACCTGATTCGCGTCTTGCTTCTTGCTAGCAATAACTACTTCTCCTCTTATACCTTATTATTTATATTTTTTTTATTTAATTGATTGATTGTTATTTCTATATATCATAACACTAATTCTCTATATTTTAGTTGTTATGCCGATCAATCGTGTTATCAGTTATAAAAAATCTCTGTACACGTTTTATTGCTCCACGTGTGGGAGTATGTTGATCATTCTTGGAGGTTCGTTGGTAGTGCTGACACATCTGATATTTTGGTGTCTCATGTATGCATTAATCAACTGTTATATATATAGATTATTCTTGGCATAAAAGTAACAGCGCATGGCTGATGAGGTGAGTTGTCCATGTCACAAGCAAAGCAAGTCCAGAAATTCTAGTCATTATGCATATTTTGATCTGGTTAAGAAAAAGAAAAAATCAGTCCAACTAACATTTCTTTGGGTCTAATTCCTTGACTTAGATTCATCCTAATCTTGAAAGTAGGTTCTGAATAAAGGAGCAGATCTCAAAGTAACTGAAAAAAAATCTTAAAAAGGGTTATAACGGAAAAAATTAATCTGTATTATGGTCCAATTGGTTAAAAATACATTTACCAGATATAAATTAGGAAAAAAAACATAAACAAAAGTTAACTTGAACTAAAGGTGATGTAATCACTTAAATGAATAGTTTTAAAGTCAAATATTTGTAATAATAATTTTTTAAAAAAATAAATGTGCATGTATTATATGTAAAAGTGAGAGATTATATTAAATTGGGATATTCTGAAGATAAAAACAAAATATTGCAACTACCTTTTCAGCTCTTCAGATATGATAATAAAGTCTTAAAGACAGCACATCTATCCCTTTCAAGTTTATAATCACTAGTTTATGTTGGAAAAATAATCATTATATCATAAGCCTCTCTGGCTACTTCGCATCAATTTATATAAAAAACAGGAACATAATTATTCAACCAAACCAACAGATCTACCAACCATGTTATTTGCACCAAACAGCAACCTTGGTTGCTTTCTTGTCAGCATCAACCCTTCATATTTCCTATCTTCTTTACTTCATTTGTAAGACTAAACATTCAAGAAAAAAAAAATCAATAATTGCCCCACCCCTCCCTTCTCATGTCACTTCCTTTCTTATTTCTCCAATAAAATGTCACCACATATCAATCTCAAAGCTCATGGGTTGGTACTACTTTTGACCTTACCTATTGTTATTGTATATTTTGAGATCATAATTTGATAATTATATCCCTACATGCAAAATAAATATCATTATTTTATCTGCTAATACCTTTCTCGAAGATACAAAAAGAAATAATTTCTGTCTCCTATCTGGCTATCTGCTAGCTACCATAAGTTCCCCACTTTCTTTCATTAATAGAGACTAAGTTCAACCTCAGTTCATCATCGTATACCCAACACAAAGCCTTCTCTCTCTCTCTCTCTCTCTCTCTCTCTCTCTCTATCCAGAGAAAAGCCACACACATCAAGAACTATGAGGCCCAACAAAAACCAGTCTCCCATTAACATCAAGATCATCATCCTCAGTTTATTCTTTCTCCTCTTCCTTTTGGTGGTAGCCTGGTCAAGCTTCTCATCTCCCAGATCGAATCCATCCCCCATTGCAGAAAATGATGACCTATCAAATTCAACAAACCTGTCCAGTACCGACGAAGAAGATCAACCAAAACCATCAACAGCAGCCTGTCCTTCTCTTCCCTTGACACCAACATGCACCAAAACCCCCCTTCTTTAGCCAATGCTCTTGTCCATTATGTAACAACAAACATCACCCCACAGCAAACCCTCAAAGAAATCTCAGTCTCATTAAGGGTTCTAGAGAAAAAGTCGCCTTGCAATTTCTTGGTCTATGGCCTTGGCCATGACAGTCTAATGTGGACATCACTAAATCATGGTGGCCGCACTGTTTTCCTGGAAGAAGACAAGGCTTGGATTGAGCAAATCAGGCAGAAACTGCCATCTTTAGAGTCCTACCATGTGACATACGAAACCAGAGTGCATCAAGCAGATGGGCTCTTGGAAAAAGGAATGGGAGACGAATGCAAAGTTGTAGGTGATCCAAGATTCTCCAAGTGTCAGCTTGCCTTGAAAGGGTTCCCTAATGATATTTATGATATAGAATGGGACTTGATCATGGTGGATGCACCAACTGGGTATCATGATGAGGCACCAGGGAGAATGAACGCAATCTACACGGCTGGATTGATGGCTAGAAATAGAGAGAATGGAGAGACTGATGTGTTTGTGCATGATGTTGACAGAGTTGTGGAGGATAAATTCTCCAAGGCTTTTCTTTGTGAAGGATACTTGACTGAGCAAGAAGGGAGGTTAAGGCACTTCATTATTCCTAGCCATAGAGCTCGTTCGGGTAGACCTTTTTGTCCTGAATGAGAAGGTTCCTCATCTCTCTTTTGTGCTTGAATTTGTTGTTATTAATTGGTTCTCTTCATCTCTGTTTCCTATCATATAAAATATAAATTACTGGAAAAAGGTTTAATTTCTCCTGCAGAGTCTGGATGAACAATGTAATTATCTTTTAATTAATTTCCACCGAATACGGTGAAATGAGCAAGATGTTCCCGATTCGTCTGTCAATAAGTAGATCTGATCATCTCCAATGAATTGGAATTTGTTTCCAAAATTTTCAACCCCTGTTCTCACCTTTTTGCAAACAAGGTGGATTGAGGAATTATTGTACAAACATGGTCCACCACTCAAGAATGTAAAACAATAAACCATAAGGTGTCCATAAGCAAATGCTAACTTGTATTCTACGTCCAAGATTCGATATTTGTTTTTTAGTATTTTTGATATTTGTGCTTAGTGTTTTTTAGAATATGCGAGATCGTGAATTTAAGAATGTTTTTTAACCATGAGGTACATGAAAACTGTCATGAGCACATCTTTGTTGCTATATGTATATCTATAAACCAATTCTTACTACTGAACCCAAAAAAAAAAAAAAAAAAATGTAAACCGATTCAATAAAATTTGTTCACCGCATTTTTTCATGTGTCAGTAATTATTTTATTTTATAATTATGAATGTTAAAAAAAATCACACTTCAAATGTGATTTATTGAATAAATGATTTGGATAAATTTAATTATTTATAAGGATTATATTGGTTTGGCCATAATTTTAAGTATTGGATCATGTTTTATAATAATTTTTAAATAAATTCACTGCTTGTTATATATATATATATATATAGACACACATGAAAGGAAGCTGGATTTCAAAGGTTCTGTTAAGCCTACTTGCCTCCGTTGTGTCAATTCGTGACAGTTGTATTGTATTGTGATTATTGTACTAGTTTATGCTATAGAACAAAACAATTAAATTCGATTAATTTTAATTTATTTTCTGACATGAAGAGGAAATCCAGTTTCTCTTCCTCATATTTCGATTTTATTGATGTATCTTCTGAAGCTTAAATCAAGAATCAATGTTGCCCTCCCCTTTAACCGAACTAATTGGATTTTTTTTTTTTTTTTTTCCGATTCATCAATTTTTGAAATTTAATCAAATAGAATTCTCCTTAAAATAATTTGACGATATCAAGTCTTCTAATGTAGTTACAAAGTCCAAATGAATATCATGTACATCAATATATTTAAAAATATAAAATACAATGTTGAAATTTATTATTATTTAATATGGGTTACATTGATACAAAGAAAAACATAAAATAATTTGAAAATTAAAAAAAATAAATTAGGAAGTCTTTAAAAGATTAAAATTATGAGACTAATTAGCCTAATGGCCAAAGGAAAACAACTCTCACACTTTTGTACTGTCACAAGAATGTAATCATCAACTAACAAACCATTCGATAAAACCAATTAGTGTTGAAATTGAAAACCAACAGTGTATTTGATAAAAACCAATTAATGTTAAAATTAAAAACGTGATGCAACGGTTAACTTATCAAATTAAAATATTATTAAAAAAAATATAAACTCAAAATATATATACATTACAACTGACTCTCACTTGTATTGCTTTACTATTTATATTTTGGGGAAAAAAAACAGTAAAATCGTATTAATTAATGTGTTCCATATATATATACTGTTGTTATTTCTATCCTTATGTTTAATTTTCATTTTTTTTATTTCTTAATGAGCTACGTGTTTAGTTTTTATGAGATAAAAAATGCACTTGTAAATTCTGCGCGATAAAATTAATTTATCATAGAATGAGCTGTTTTTAATAAAAATAGTAGTCTTGTTTTCTTTCATAAATAATGATTTACTTTTTATTAATTTTTAGAATAATTTATTATTATTGTTATTGTTATTGTTATTATTATGTTCTTACCTTTTAATGAACTCCTCATCTAAACTTTCTCTTTGCATAGTAATTATTTTTATTCTGATTTATATTCTACTATTTTTAAAGATTTTTGTATTTATATTTTTACATATAAATTATATACCAAACATCATTTTGGCCTTTACGTTGAAAGTAGAAGATTTGATATTATCAAAGAATTCTAAAGAAGTTGTCTTTAATTAAATTTCAAGATCAGTTCAGGCACTGAAAAATTTTGTTCCATTAGTTGATTCGTGATTGAAATTTTAGAGAAAAAATTGATAAAATTGAAACTTCAGTGGAAGAAATTCGATTCGTCTCAATCTCAAAGCTAGGCAAATTGAAATTATCCCTAAACTTTGATACCTTATTGAGGATAAATTTATTATTATGCCATTTGAATTAAAATGACTATAAATCATATAAACTTGCTGTAAGATTTTAAGTAGCTAAATTAAATTAAAAAAAAAAGGTTATCACTATAATTATTTTAAATTTGAAATTTGAAATTTGAAATGTCTTATTAATTTAATATGATTTTTATACTTGTAGTTATTTCAATTTTAAAATCTTATAAAAAAGTAATTAACTTATTTATATTCTAAATATCATTAACAATATATATCAATATAAAATGTTTATTATTCATAATTATGCATATATTTATCATAAAAAATAAATGCAAGTTTGCTGTACATAAAAATTATGGTACTTTATATCCGGAGATATAAAGTAATATTTTTTTTTAACCCACCTACTCAAAAGCTTATAACAGAACTAATTTTTAGGATTCGAATCTGTGATCTCTTGCAATAAATTATTATCATTGGACAATAAGCTCTTTGGTAAAGTAATAATACTTGAAATATTGCAATAGATATCAAGATAAATATGCATTATTGACAATTTTGTAACTTAAAAAAAATTAAAGCTATTTCGTCATTTTCAAAAAAAATAAATAAAAAAATCATTTCAAAAGACATTTCTTCCATATTTTTAAAGTAAAACCTGATATACCTTAAAAGTGCAATATCTTTCATTTCGTAAAGTTAGACAATGAAGTTTAAAGTTGCTTACCAAACATTTATTTAAAACTTTAATTACTTTACTTTAAATGAACAGTCAAAAGTACGAAAACATGTGGTCATACAAGCTTTTTATATAATATATAATTCATGAAATTTCCTTACTATTACCCTCAATAGACAGAAAACTCAGATATTAATAAGGATATAGTAGTAAATAACATAGTCTATTAATTGAATTCCTTGTGCCATTTACATATCAAAATTTAATTAGGAAGTTCAATTTCCTTTCTTTTCTTCGCCACTCATTCCACACCACCACCACCACCACCACGCCATACCCATTGCCCAGCGAAGGAGAATACTTGTAATAACAACAACAACATTAATAATCATTGCATGAGTGAAAAAAAATACACGGCAAGAACTGCTATGTGTTAAATATCATCGGTTTTACATGATACAGAGCAAACATTTTCATGATTTATGCAAGTTTTTTCTTGTTAAATAACATTTGTTTTACATGAAACTGAGGAATCTTTTAATGATTTATGCAAATAAGTAATTAATTTGACATCTATTTCCCAATTTTAAGATGTTGGAGGCAACTAAATTGACACTTTGAACACATTTTTTATTTATTTATAAATTCTTATTTTACAAATGGGTGAAAAATCAATGGATGCTCTTCTATTTTTATTTTTCGTTCGTATTAACTCTCCTGTCACATTTTAGTTTATAATTATTTTTTTACTAACAATTTTGGTAGGTTTTAATCCCTCCATCCATTTAGATTGGTTTAGATAATAAAAAAAATTAAAAACGAAAATCAATAAAAATCTTTATCAAATATAATTAATTTTTCTATCTCTTATTTTTCTCATCTCAAATGTAATGGTGAAATTTCGTGAAATTTGGTTATATCGGATTAAGATCAACTCTTTTCCTCCTTCAAACTCATTCTTATCTAATTGCATGAGAGTTTGTTAAAGGATAGACGCTTATTTTATCATAAAATCATCAACATAACACTTTTAAATTATTTTGGCATGTTTTTTAAAAAATAGAAGGAAAACATATGAATTAAATTTTTGATAATTATATTAGCACGGATGGTGTTTTTCGTCTAAAATTTCAAATTTATATGACGTAACATGATTGTTATGATGACAGCATGACATAAATTTCATATAATATTGCATGTGGATTTTTTTTTATTTCTTCCTTTTACTTTTACTGTAGTAAAATCCTAGGAGAGACACCTTCCTCTTCACCAAATCTCCTCTCTTTTTCAATCTTTTCTATTTCAGATTTCAGAATTCTTCAAATCTCATATTCCAAATACAAATTCTCAACAAATCCACCTTAATTTTTCCATTTTTTTGAAGTTAAATTCAATTTTTTTCTTATCTGATTTACATGTTCCTTTGAATTCTAATAACATCTCTACCAAATCTCATGATCTAACAAGAAAATCCAAGTCAAAATCACATCCAGATTTTCTTTTCCACTGAAATATGGAAAAGTGGAAGCAAATCTATCTTATAACTTTAATTTTAGTCTCGTTCCCTTGAACTTGCTACAATCTTTACCCACCATGGCCACCTTTGTTATTAAGAAAATTTGACGTCAAATGGATCATTCACCAATTGCAAGGCTTAAATTTGGCACAAAATGAAGAGCCAAACAGTGATGAAAGCAAGAAGAGGTTGGTGGTTGAGATAAAATGGAAAGGTCAAAAGGGTATTTCTGAAGGACCTTTGCGAAGAGAGAAACGGGAGAGAGAAAGAAGAGGTTGTAGTGGTTGGTGTTTTGGCTGAACAGCAGGCTGGGTTTGTGAGGCAGGCTGGAGTGGCATCCATTGCCACATCATATCAATTCCAAATTTTAAACAAAAAAATATCTTCGATATTAACATGGTTACTGAAATTTTAATTTATATATATTTTTATTTTTTATAAAAAAAAACGTGTCAAAATAATTAAAATATGTAAAATTTGGTATAATAAGCTAAAGAAAAACGATGGAAAAGCAATGCTGATAGTTTGTAATCCAAATACTGCGAATTCATATTTCGATTCATGTTTTGATTTTAAATCATCATCAAATTTCTAAAATAAGAGTGAAAATTTGATATGCGTTTTGACGATTTTGTATGGATGCAATTTTAGGTTCTAAAGAGCTCGATGTAGGCTGTTTCTTAATAAAAATATTGTGATTTTTTCAATGATTTGGGTTCACAAATTGGAGATGCTTTTGCAAGTTTTGAGATTGATATGTAGAATAAACAGAAATAATTGGGCTCTCGACTGCTTAATTTCTTCGAGGTGCTTAAGCTGAACAAATGTTAGATTTCTTTTCTTTTTGAAAAGATAATGAATTGAATAAAAATCAAAATTGGGATTATGGTTTGAAAGTAGAAGAATCTTGAAAATACTAAAAGTCTCATGAAACAATTTGATTTATATTGAGTTTCTTCAAAGGTTCTTAAATTTGATTGCAGCAATTTCTTTGATATGCTTGATGTTTTAGCTTTTTTTTTTTTTTCTGACATCAATTTTTAATTTACTAAAAATAAATTTATTTAAAGGTTTTAAATTAATAATTTTATTTTATTTTAAATTAAAGTTATTTATATTTATAATTTATGTTTTTATCACAATTGTACCTGACACGATCAATACTATTCATTTGAGTCCACTATTAACTTAATTAACAGAGATTGACAGAAGGTTTTAAACTTAATAAAATTATTAGTAGAAAGCTATGAATCAAAATGGGATAGATGGGTTAATATAATTAAAAAAAAAATTGATAGTAGAAGGATAGACGATGATTTTCACCTTCTAAAAAATGAATTTCAAGATTTTTTAGCATGTATCTCATCTACAAAAACAATTGATGAGATATTGCTTTTCAGTAACCAATATTTAAATACAATTGCTGAGAAATTTCAAGATTTTGACATACAGTATACTCCTATATAATATTTAAAAATTGCATATTGAGATTGTAGAGAATTCGTTTGAGATGTTGGTAGAGAGGAGGCAGCAGGACCAGTGTGGAAGTGCTTCAAAGATATTAAAATAAAACATTATAAAGAACCCTAAAAGACATTATCAGTTATCAATCTACCAGGAACAAAGGCACTTTGGGAGTTGTCGATAGTACATGGGAGATTCAATTTTAACATATTTGCAATTGCTTAATAATGATTTTAAACAGAACATTGCATAAACTAATAGATCTGAATTGGGAAAGGGTCTCAGGCTTATCCACCTTAGTATCAGTGCAATTTTCTAATCTTAGTTACCTTGTAATTTGAATAAGTTTCAATTTTGCCATTTACTACTATCTAACAAAAGGCTGGCTTTTTTTTTTTTTTCATACATTTATTTTAATTTTCCTTATTTTTATCTAATTCTTTCCGCTCAAATCCCCATAAATGTTGCAACATCTCTAATGGACGATTAATAACGTAAAAAAAGAAACAAATAAAAAAACCTCAAAGGTTGAATTCAAAGTGTAGGCTATTCAATACTGGGGGATATTGTTGAAAATTGTTAAACTATATGGGTAGAAGTGAGCATTGAAGAATCCTTAGGGACAAAATTCAAGTTTAACCAAAATAGGTTGCGCTAAAAAAAAAAAAAATCAAAAGAGTAATATGTAATTATAGTGCCCAATCTTTGAATTTTTGTCTACTTTAGTATCCAATCGGGGGTTTTTTTTATTTTATTTTAATGTCCAATTTTTTTATTTTTTTATTTATTTTTATTTTTTTTTTGAGTTTCCACAATCATTTAAGAGTCCAATTTTAAGTATTTGGATGAACTTCACATAACATTTTTAACTAGCACTTAGTATTTTTGAACTGCTACGTGACAATTCATATTAAACATATTAATATTTCGTACTTTAAGGTAATGAGTACTGAATAAAAATCAAAATTTAGACATTAAAATAAAACAATTTATCAATTGTATAATAATAAAAAAAAAAAAAAACAAAGATTAGACATCAAAATGGCAGTTTTCTCGATTTAAAACACACAAGAATGGGTGCGGGGAAATTCTTATCTGGGTCAACTCCCCCTCCATCCACAAAATGAAACAAACTAGGATTTAGTTCATTCAGACAACCAAACAACACCTTATCTTCACTCTCTCAAAACAGCGTGAGCAGTCTGTAACTCCGTATCACATAGTTCTCATCCCAGGAAAAAAAAAAAATTTGTCAAAAAAAAAAAAAAAAAAAAAACGCAATCAGATGACAAAGGCGAAGAAGGAATTGCTATCAAAAGCACCATGGAGAGGAGAAGAAGAAGACGAATCTGATAAATTCAAAGACGCAAAGCTCAAAGTGACCAGCCAACCTGGTTCCACACCTACTATGCACGTGTCTCGTAAAAAGAACAAACGTTTTGACGATGAAGATGAAGATGATGACTCCGTCGAAATCGACCCAGAACTTCGTTATAGTTTCCAGCGCAACTTCCAGGTTTTTATCTGACTGTACTCTAGGTGTTTGATAGTTGGTTTCTTTCATATTTTGTACTAATTTTTATCTCGAGTGTGACTTGGTTGCTAGTTGACTGATGGATTTTGTTTTATTTTTGTTGTACTTGTAGTTTCTTCAAAGAGTGTTTAGTATTGATACTGTTGTGAAGCCTCTTCCTCCGGCTATGGCATATAATGTTTCGCGAAATTTGAGCTTTTTTACTCGTATCTTTACGCAATTCTTTGGTGAGTTGATTTCCTTGGTACATTAAGGAGATTGTATATTTTATCATATAATCTCATGTAGTTTTAGTTATTCTTTTACTTTTCATTTCATCTTCGTTGTAACCAGTCTGTCAATAGATATGAACTTTTATACACAAAAATGTTTCCTTCAATAGTCATGACGCAGTCGGTTTCTGCAGTTCATTTAATTTGCTAGTAGAGCTAGTTAATCTTTGTTGACAGTTGAAATGGTCTGTTATTGTGTTTAACTCGGTCCCCCTTCTAGGGATAAGAAACAGTTGCAGGACTCTGTGTTTTGCTCACTTGCTTTGTGTGCAAGCACAAATGCCTTGAGAGCAATTAACAAATGCAAAGTCCTGCAAAATCTACAATTGAAGCATAGGAATCAGCAACTTCACATGATAGGAGTTATCAGCTTTGATTCTGCCTTAGCTGATGTATTTAAATGTTGTTCATCAGAAAATTTGGCCTGTGATTATTGTGGTTTATAGTTTCTTCCATGTAAACCAAGGCCAAGTCATGAATGATTGTAATTGCTGGTTGATTTTCATAGCATGTTAATATCCTCTTTCAGAAGTATTGAGTGCTTGTTGGGATTTCATTCTATTGCAGATCCTGAAGGTATTGCAAATGCACAGAAATCACTTGGTTTAGGACAGGAAGAGAAAGCTCGTCGTGTCCGTTGAGAACTGACATTCTAGCATGCTTTTGCTGTTTAATTTTGATTGTATCTGGATCTTTGTTTTGCCAAGAATTGTTATGCGTGACTGATTTCCTATATATGAATGTTAAACATGTTACAAGATCTCGAGGGGGTAGTTTAAATTCAACTTAACTGGGAGGCTTTTTTTTTTGTATCTTTTTTTCGGGGTGTTGAATCCTGCATGAAACAGAAGCTCCAGACATGAAGGAAACGATAGTCATGCTTTATGTTACATGGAAGTTTGATACAGAAATGTGTGGATCGATTTTACTAGAGAAACCTACAAGCCCTCCAAAGCATAACGGTAGAAACTGCTGGTTGATTTTCAGAGGCAAGTGTGATGCAAAAGAAAATTATCGAAAAAGCAAAAGATGCTTCTGTCATGGTGCTTCATCAGAAGATTCAGAACATTGTTACTTTGAATCTCTCTTGGAGTCGATTTAACAGATGGAACTTGGAAGGCATTTAGAAAAGAAAATGGTTAGCTCGGATTTTTTCTACCTTTATGTTTGAGCAACACATTAACTTTCCCAGCTAATTACCCAGCTTAGGCAAGAAAAAATAGATGGAAGTTTAGAGGAAAGTGCTAAATCTGCAATCCTGTACTATTTAATCTTCGTGAGACAAACATGTCCAGTGGCAAAGGACGACATTTATTGAAAGCGTTTGTTTAGCCTGCAGGAATGGAAGTTACAGATGCTGGTGCTACTATGACTAGCATGAGCCAAAAACCGTAGCCATTGGAGAAAAACAAGCTTTTAACAAATTTTGCATGTAACATCTCAAATCCTAAACAAGCTGTTGCACTCAAATTTACAATTTTGTAGTAACTAAACCAGCTATAGAGTTCTCTTTAAGTCTTAACCTTCCGGAGAACCCTTTTCTATTTCTATTATCCCCTGTATGGGAAATACTCACACACTGCAAGCACATGGTTTGAGATGAAACCTAACTAGTCCTAAAATTACGATCCACAATCTCATTACATTCTGAAACACTAGGCAACAAGATTCTTCACAGAATTGAACAAAGGATTCAATCAGTGACTAGCAATGTAAGGTTTATTCAGCAGAACCTCCCCGCCAGTATCCTGAGTTACTTATTCCACATTCTGATAGAAATTTCTGATATTCTTGTTCAAGTTCGTTGTATGCATGAGAGACTTCTTCAAATGAATTTTGATCTTGATCTGCAGAAGTACCCTGCACAGAGATAGAAACCATCACAGCAAGCACATAATCATTCTTTTTCTCTTTTTGAAGAATTCACACCAAGTTTCTATTGAGAACTTGAAGAATAAAATCTATTTGATGAGGGACTTACGACGCGTTAAATTTCATGCCAGTCCAATCAACAGATTATCAAACCAAGTTAAATCATTTATTAAGAGATATATAACAAGATTGTATTGATAAGAGAAACCTCATGCAACAAATATATCAAGAAAATAAAACATAAAAATTAAATATCACATCACTAATCTTAGGTAGTAAATATTACTCATTGCAAAAATATTCTCCACAACCATAGATTTTTCTGTACTATCACTCCTGCAGTTTCCATTTCACAGTCCATAATATGAAAGTAAATCATTATAAAGCAACAAAATGTTTGCAGCCCATGAGCAAGAGGAAAAGGAAACAAGTGGCAACAAAGCTAACAAATCATTTCAAACTCTGCAAAACTCAATGGGGTCAAAAAAAGCTCCAATTAAAAATCTTAATAGCAGGCATCTCATTTGACAAGAAACAGGTATCTTCAAAGAAAAAAGTCATGAATGAGCATTACATGGTATAACAATATTTTCATTATCCAAAGTCCTGAATGCTCTCTCTCTCTCTCTCTCTCTCTCTCTCTCTCTCTCTCATAGTCTCATGTGCATCTGCAGCTGGGGTTAGAAAGGATATCAGTTGAACAGCCAACAATAACCAGAATTTTAAGCTCTGTCGTGTCAAATGCTCATGTCCACGAATTTCACAGCATGACATGAGCAGCAACATGTAATAGAATTGAAAAGAAAAAAAGAAAGAAAGAAGTACAAAACCAAAGTAGAATATTAAGATTTAGGGTATCCATCAAACTCAACCATATTAATTTGTATATTCATAATCCATCAAAAATGTAACATACTCTTAACAGTTAAAAGGAAGATGGCATAAGAGATTGAAACCAATGTGATGAGCTTACAGTGGAATCCAGTACTGATTCGCCATCAAAATTATCTGGCTCCTTCATGTCACTGAGAGCATATTTCCACCGCTTACTCTTGGGCACATCATGATGCGTCCCTGATTCGTTTGAAGCTTGGAATCCCAAGTCTCTACGAGCTCTAGTGTGAAAGGCACCAATTATGCATCTGATGCAAAATGCTATTACAGGAACCAGAACTAAAAAATAACCAGTGGCTTTAGCCTGATAATAGAGTGGACAAGACTGTTGAGGTCACTTCTATTTATGAATTTATAAGACAAAAGAAGTTGGAATATGACAATGAGTGTCATCCCATGAAAACCAATGAAGCAAAGTGTTCTAGTACTGAGCTTACATGTGGCAAACTATGGGTGGTTACCGTGATGAAGCACTTCTGGTTTAGAAACCCATCCATAATCTTCATAGAGCTCTGAAGCCTTTCTAGTTGATCAAAGCAAGGCAATTCACATTTCTTCACCTGATACTAATTGACGAACAAACACTAAGTACCTTTAGAACCCAGAAAACAAATCGAAACTCCCCAAAACACAGCTTATGACATCCAAGGGTGCAAGCCAACATGAATGATAATTTACGCTATACAGCTATAATGGTGAATCCATTCCCCTTAACAATTTTTATCATATGTCAACAAACAAAACTACAATCTATCTGCAAGACCTTCATGTAAAAGTTACTATTACAGTTTCCCTGTCTTCAAGCTCTACTCGAGTTGTAACTGAAGAAAAATGAGCTGCGGATTGAACTTTTTAAATAAATATTGTACAGTTCCACATAGCATTGAATAGCCTCTTCTCATAATGAACAATGAATAGATCATAAGCCAATTAACACGAAAGTGGCTTTCTGAGTACATGGTATTTCATATTTATTTCTGAGTGGATTTAGCAATTATTTTACAAGGGAATGAAACCAACAATCTCATTGCAAAAACAAAAACTTAAAGCCAAATGCTGCTCAAGAACGCAACAGGAATACAATTGTACTGCCAACATTAGGGAAAGATCAGACACAAATTTGAATGATGCAAGAAGTGCACTCTAACATAGATGTATTCATGCCACAAGTATCATGTCTACAACAAATTTGATTTTCATATATAAATTGCAGAGTACATTGCAAATAAACCAGTTTCTTTTATAGATATATATTTGTATGAGTGTGTCTAAACAATAACTAAGGCATTTGTAAATGATCATGCAACTCTCTGCTCACCGTTTGAGTGTCTGCAGGGGCAGATGCAGGAATGTTAAGAAGCTGTCCTTTGGAAACAAGATCAACATCCATTATATTCTTATTAGCTGAAGCAATAGAATATATAGATACCCCATACTGCTTGGAAATTGAAGACAATGTTTCACCCCTGCCATAGAAAATTTCCGAGTAAATGGGACAGTATTGTAGAACCCCACAGCCATACGAGTTCGACACAGAAATTTCCACAATGAATGGCCATCAGAAGCTAAATTGTTCGAAAAACAGATATTACCCTAAGCTTTGTATAATCTAATCAAAGAAAAGTATACAAATCAACTTCCAACAAAAGTATGACAATGAAGGGAATAAAAAAGAAAATCTCCATGCTTTTTTAAACCAGTTACAAACTAAATAAATTAAATTTCGCATTCACATCTACTTAGCTAACTGTCAGCAAATAGATAAATAAACAAATTACTAATTCGAATATTACTCTTTGACCACATGAAGCAAGTAGGGATTGGTGGAGCTTTGACCCTTTGAAGTATCCTGAATATGAAATTTCCATCTCTGAAACCACAAAACCAATGGCTTACTACGAAAACAAGCAAAATGCAATACTGAAACCAAGTATAAGCTTCTTCTCTTATTCTTCTTTCTAAGTATCAAAAACAGCAAGCCAATAAAAAGAGAGAGAGAGAGAGAGAGAGAAGACATGAGCTTGCATAAATTTTGAAACCCAACTCTTATCATCCAAAAAGATGGAAAATTTATCAACATAACCACAAGAAGTGTTTCATAACTTCTCTTTTTCATGTAAAAATTTCTTGGCAACCGAACAAAGCAAAATAACTGGGAGAGAAAGATTGTACCTCTGCAACAACTATAGAAGACTTCTTACTGCTAACCCACCATTTAATGCTGCAATTGACCGGAAAAAAAAAAAAAAAAAAAGAAGAAGAAGAAGAAATCTTCAGCAACTAAAGAGAGAAAACAACGAAAGTGCATTAACGGATGAGAAGAAACCTTTGAGATGGGAAATTAGTTTTAGGATTTGGCAAATGGAATTTGGGAAGAGAAGGATTAGAGAAAGGTCGTCTATGGCTAAGCTTCACTTCCATCACTCATCTCTCTAAACTCTAAACGAATGGAACATTAGATTCCTTTTTCTGTTTACTTTATTTATTTTTCTATTTAAATTGGATTTATTGGCGCTACAAGTTAAACTGGGTGCCCAGACTGATGGAGTTGGACTATGACGTGAGCTATGACATCATAATTATTTATCCCCACCAAAAAAAAAACTTAGCAGTTGATTGTAGTTAATGGAATTAATTGCTTTTTTCCTTTTTTTTTTACATGTATAAAATCTATAGTCGTACAATTTAATTCTCTTCTGAGCAATATATATATATATATATATATATATATATATATTGAGTTGTTGTAAAGGTGAGAATGTAAAATATTCTTAATTTTTTGAATTCTTTCATACAATGTCTCTACTCTTTAGAACTATTCTAAATTTTAGTCCCAAGATAGGGTTGGTATAACGCTAAATGAAGAGCACTTATTATGAGATTCAAAATTGAATTTTATGTATGTAATTAGTGATATATTTATATATAATCATATCTACCATCAGAAAAATTCTAAAATTTAATCCCGGTATAGATGTGATAGGGTCTTTCAATAAATGAGTGATGTGATGAAGGAAATATAATGTTTAATGTCAAAAAATATGAAATAATTTATTTACTTAGTAAAATGAGATAATCAATAGCAATTAAAAATATCTAAAAGGACATATTTGAGAAAAATATACAAAGAAAAGAGCCTCTAAATTTGCCATTTGAGGACTCTCTGATGGGTCCCATTTATTTATTTTAATTTTTTATATATTTGTTACGCAACTGCTATTTTTTACTTTAACTAGCTTTTTTAACAAAGCAAATAAATGCATGCAAACAATTGACGCAACAACATTGAATAATTGTATGCATAGAACAAGTATAGGATCTACTTTATCAATTTATTTACACACAATTGGTCCCGAGTTGATGCTTTCCCATCGAATTCTTGATCCTTATTTTGCTAAAGCTAATGAAACAATAAAATTTAAAACCCACTTAATTAGAATAACAAATTAAATTCTAAAAGCTAGATTTTCACTTCAAAAAAAGTTAAAGAAAGAGCTGAAGATAACTCATATATGTGTAAATAACTTCCATAATCAAATCGAATAACTATATGTATTAATTAAAAAACCTAATTCCAACACAAATTAACAGAAAATGAATTTAAACTTGAACCAACATCAAAATATTATCAAAATTCCTTTGGAATCCAAAACTATTTTAATTCGTATTAGAGGATGAAGAAATTCAAATTTATAGGTTTTTAGGGTCTAGGGAGGAGAACCCAAGGCATCTCATTATCCTGCGCATAGCTTAGCTCCACCAACCAAATTGCCTGATGCACTAATAGCTGAAAGCTCAACCTCCAAATCGCCACGCCAAACGGTAAGCCCCTAGAGTGCGACCAAAACACGCCCACATTAGACTGAACGTAAAGCCTTCGAAGTCAAATTAAACCCTACCTGTAGCGATGGTAATTTGCCCCACCTCCATGGAGCTCCAGCCCCACTCGAATCAATGCATGGATTCTTTGAATTGATTGGAGAGTCTGTCCTATATTTATTTTGAACGGGGATAAGGTGAGAATGTTCTTTGCTCGTTATACCTCATTTATCTTGTTTCATTTCTGAAATTATAATTATATCTTATATAAAATATATGGTAATTAATTTTTAGGATTTATTTTTTATATGAAATATTATTTTTTTATTATAGTTTAAAATTTGATAATAGAATGAGACGAGATGAGATAAGACGGAATGAAAAAAAAATTAAACGAGACATTGGTGCTTTACGAGGATCTCCGTTTTTATTTGAAGTGAGAATGATATGAGAAATATGACTTCTTATAGGACTCGATGTGGGGACGGAGAAAAAATTTTCAATGATAGGGCGGGCGAGGATGGCACCATTGCCATTTCTATCTACCTAGCCCTAAGCTCTGTCCATTATGATCCCATAGATCCAACATGAATAGAAGCAAATATTTTTTGGGTCCTGTTCTTTCACTTGGGTTTGCATACATGTTAACATGTCACGTTTGCGAAAAATCATAGAATTGGTTGTCTTACATGTAGAATTTCCCCGTTATATATATATATAAAGCTGAAAAAGAAGTCTCAATTTAGTTTTTAGGAGAGACTAAAGGTCATATCATAAAAATATGCAATGAGTTAGTTATATTTAAAAGAATATAAAAATATTAAAAAAAAATTCTTTCTCAAGAAAGATTACCTTGCTTGTTTTTATTTTTAAGTTCATTTATTGCATATAATTATTTGTTCAATTATTTTCTAAGCCTATTTATAAGTTTATTTTTAGTCTAGTCTTTGTGAATTTGGAACTAATCAGAAAATTAATTCATCACATTTGTTTATTAGAGTTTTTGGAATATAAAATTAACAAGATCTGAAAATAGGGCTTAAAAACCTGTTTTCCTTTATTTTGGAACCCAAAATGAGATAATTTTCCAATTCCTTCATAAAGTTTGTGTCTTATTTGTATTTTTTTATCAATTTTTTTTTACTAATAGTGTTAAATCACACTTTTAGACCCACAAAATTGCAATACATGTCAATTTTTAATTTAATTTTATTTTTATCACAATCTCATCCCTCTACTTTTTCTTTTTTAATCGAATTCAAATAAATAAATTTTGAAAAAATAAAAGGTAAAGATAAAAATATTTTTTTATCCCAAATATTATTTACGAGTTTAAATTTATCTTTATGATAGTAAGCAAATTTTGAGTAAACAATAAAATATTTATAGTATTTTTTTAACATGTCAAGAGAGTTTTAGTTAAATTTTAAAACTTTTGAATGGTATTTTTAATTTTATAATACCTCAAAAGATTTTATTTAATTTTTTTTTCAAATATATATGGTCATTCTATCTAAAATATGAAGGGAAAAACCTGGAAAAAAAAGCTGAAGACAATTTTTTTATCTGAAATACTCTTTATGTGTTTAAATTTATTCCTATAATAAGCAAATTTTAAGTATAATAAATATTTATAGTATTCTGTTTTTAAATGTCAAGAGAGTTTTAATTAGATCTTGAAACTTTAAAGTGATATTTATAAATTTATAATGGTTGAAAAGAGTACATTATAATTTACTTTTTTCATTTTATTAAATTTCTTCATTTCATTCGAAAGTAAAAATATAAAGTTTGTTAAGATTTTTCTGAGAATATTCATTCAAAAGTAGTTAAAAGACCGAATATATCATTTTTTATTTTTTTCAAAAAATTATTTATTTAAATTTAGTAAAAGAAGAAGAAGAGAGAATAGAATGATGAGATTTTTTTTAAAAAAAAACAAAGTTGACACGTGTAATTTGTGATGTTAACAGTGCGATTTAATATCGTTAGCCTAAATAATTAATAAAAAAGGACAGGATTAGACATAAACCAAGTTTAGAAGGACAAATTTAGAAGGAAAAAAAAATTGATGGGCAAGATAGAGGAGGAGGAGAGAGAGAGAGAGAGAGAGAGAGGGGGGGGGGGGGGTGTGGGAGTACATGGACCCTCGCAACTATTAATCCGTGAAAAAGGCAAACAACAACGAATATTCTATTGACAGCTTAACAAATTATCTGATTACATATATAATAGCATAAATCAATCTTCTCTATCTTGGCCTATTCCTATAGGGCCTAGAGAAGACCCTAGAAATCAGCCCCTGTGGCCAAATATTAGCCCTAGATCCTTCAAAATCAATCCAACCTTACACTACCTGTCTCACTTTTTTGCAACAAAAGTTAGAGAACAATGGGTTTTTAGGTCTTTTGGCAGCAAATTAGCTCGCTTTGTAGCACAGTAATAGAGAAATGGAAAGACGTGTTCTTTGTCTGGTTTTGGTGGAGAAGGAGCGAAGCGATAGAGAGAGAAAGAAAGAAGACTATCTTTTCTAGCAAAAACACAAGACAAGAAGGAGAGGAGAATGGATTGGTCCCTCTTTGTTTTGAGCTGGGTTCGCTTGGATTGGTGGTACTTGGTGGTGAGGGTTTGCATGGAACTTCAGCGACAAGTACTAATTGGAATTGGCCATCGGTGGCTACTGGCTGGTACTGGCGTTTGGCCGATTCCTTTCATGACTAAAAGTGAAAATACTCAAATAGGGGTCGGAGGGATTTCTCTATTCTTAATTTCTTTGGTTTTTATTGCGTTCCTTTTTCTTTTTCTTTTTTTCATCTTAAGTTCGTATTAAATTAGACAGTTTGGACTACAAGATTGCAATATCTGTCGATTTTTGTTTTTATCTCAATCTCATCCCTCTACTTTCCCCTTTTTTTTAAAAAAAATCAAATTCAAATAAATAAAATTTTTAAAAAAAGAAATAAAAGATGAAGATAGAAATTTTTTTTTATCCTATATGTCTTCGATGGTAAGCAAATTTTGGGTTAAAAAATAAAATATTTATAGTATTTTTTAAAAAATGTCAAAAGAGTTTTAATTAAATTTTAAAACTTTTGAATGATATTTTTAATTTTATAATACCTCAAAAGAGTTTATTTAAAAAAAATATTATTATTATTTTAAATATATCTGGTCATTCTATCTAAAATATGAAGAAAAAAACCTGAAAAAAAAGCCAAAGACAAAAATATTTTTTTATCTAAAATACCTTTTATGGGTTTAAATTTATCTTTATAATAATAAGTAAATTTTAAATATAAAATAAAATATTTATAGTATTTTGCTTTTAAATATCAAAAGAGCTTTAGTTAAATTTTGAAACTTTTAAATGATATTTATAAATTTATAATACCTAAAAAGAGTATATTATAATTTACTTATTTTTGTTTTATTAAATTTCTTAAATTGACACAAAAGTAAAAATATAAATTTTGTTAAGATTTTTCAAGAATATTGGCTCAAAAGTGGTTAAAAGACTGAATGTATCTTTTTTTTTTTTTCAAAAAATTATTTATTTAAATTTAGAGAGAGAGAGATTAAAAAAAAAAAAAAGGTTAATAAGTGTAATCTCGGATGCTAAAGGTGCGATTTAATATCATTAACTCAAAAGGTTAATAAAAAAGGAAACAATTAAGACATAAACCAAGTTTAGTGGGACAAATTTAAAACAGAAAAGAATTGATGGAAAAGATAAGAGCAAAAAAAAAAAAAAAAAAAGGAGTACATGGATCCTTGCAACTATTAATCCGTGAAAAAGGCAAATAACAAGGAATATTCTATCGAGAGCTGAACAAATTATCTGATTACAAAGAATTGATGAATCATGAATGTACTTAATTCCTAATTAGAAACAAAATCCACTATGTATATAACTTACACCGTCCTATTTGTGTTTTTTTTTTTTTTTAAACAAACTCAATAATTAGGAAGAGAGTTCCCCTTATATTAACTTCAACACGCACATTATTTTAGTTCAATTTTGATCTTTCAATTCAAATTAATTATTAAGATTTTGCTAAGTAAGTTTTAAGTGAAATCAAAATGTTTGACCATTAAATAAATATCAAATAAAAAATTATTAAAAAATTGAAAGAAATATAATTTTTAGCACTCTCTTTCTCTCTCCTATAGAAAATGATGAGATAGGAGGAATAATATTAGTGTTGATAGACATAAAATTCTTGCAGAGATGAAAATTTCAAATAGAATGTCTTTAGACCCAACTAGTTTTTTTTCTACTGACCCTATATTGCGGATTGGATAACATATATCAAATTATTTTAAAAAAATTATTTCAATTTAATAGTTTGTGTTATGATGTAAATCTATAAAAATATATGAAATCAAAAATTAAAAAAAAAATTATTTATAATTATTCAATCAAAATTTTGTATTTAACTATTTCTTATTTGTTTTTTTCATGGTTTTTCTATTAGAAAAAAGAATTTATTCTTGTTAATCCATGTATTATCAACTAAAAAAATTAAATAAAAATTTTAAAAAAGCTTTAGTATTTCATAAGATTGTGTCAAAAAACTAAAATAATCATTAATGAAAACTTACATAGAATTTTTTTATTTTTATTTAATGTTGATGAGAATATCGATTTTTGAAAAAAAATATGAATTTAATTTTTATATATTTACTCATAAAAAATGAATAATATTAAAATTAGGTTAAGCCAAAACATAATTTGAATTATTTAATGTAAAATAAATTAATTTTAAAATATTCAAAAATAAATAAATAAATAGTAAATGCTTAGAGTAGCAGTAGTTGTATAGTTAATTTATAAAAAAATAATGATTCAATATTTTTTTATATATCATAACTATATTAAGTGGATTCGAGTTTTTAGCATAAAACAAAAAGCAATATAAAAAAAAGTTAACTTGCAAGGAATATATTGATTAAATTTGAAGTTAATATACTAAAATAAAAATTATTACAAATTGATTTCGATAAATTTTGATTATATAAAAAAGAAACAAATAAAACACATGAATTGTTTTTCTTTGTTTCCTCCTTCTTAAATAATTTTTTATTTTTATGCTATACATGGCTAGTTCTTGAATACGGACCTTATGTGTAGAGCAACCATTTCTTTTTTGTTTTTCAAATTTGACTTTCAATTATTAATTAACTAATTTGAGTTTTTTCCTAAAAAAATCAAGAAAACATTATATGAAATACACTTTTAATCTAAAAATATATTTTAGACAAATGATATATATATTAATCATGCCACTATAATTTAAAAATTATATAAATCTATTTTTCAAAAGAAAAAAATAATCATGTTCTAAAAATTTATTTCAAAATCCATACATATAAAAAAATAAATCAAAATTATCAGTAAATAAATTTTAAATTAATTTGATGAGAATTTCAAAAAAAAAAGACAAACTAAAGTATAAATTTTAAATAATACAGGTAATTAATAAAAAAATACTAAAATAAAATAGGGTCAAATCGCAATACAATTGGAGTTTGAAATTGAAATATATATAGAAAAATTAAGGACCAAAGTATTAAAAAAATGCCATGAATAATGATTTATGATTATGTGAATAGTATTATGAATAGTAAAAGCTCATTTTGTTTTAGTGTTTTTTTTATAAATTGTTAAAACTTTTCATTAATTTTTAATTATTTGAAAATAAAATTTTCAATTTAATTTCAAATTGAATATTTTTTAATTATTTTTATTTGGAATTATGTTATTTTATTAGATTTTTTTTTAACTTTAACCAACAAATGCAATTTCTCGGTTTCTAAAAGTATATAAAAATTTAGAAATATTTTATTTTTAAATTTTTTTTCCTAAATACTAAAAAGCGATTAACAAATATTTAAAAAAAATCAAGAAAAAAAAAGCATTAACATGGTTTGACATATTTTTAGATATTTGAAAATTTAAGAAATCAATCACGTAGAACTTATGCATGCTTTTAATGTCAAAATAGATGAAAATCTAAAAAAAAAAAAATCAATTTACGATAAAAATAATTTAAAAAACCTGAAATTAAAAATTAACATATTAATTTTTAGATACTTAAATTTCAGAAAAAAAAAATTGCGCCATGTGGCTTTTTAAATAAATCTAGCATGAAGTGATATTGGTGGAAAAGGAAAAAAAAAAAAGCAAAAAGGAAGAAGTGAATCGTAAAGGAACCAAAAAAGAGAGTCGGAAAAAAATGTGAACAGTCTATTAACAGTAGTTGACTCTTGAAAAATCCCACGACTTTTGGTTTATTAGTAATGACTTTTTTTTCTAAGTAAATTATGAATTAGCCTTTCTAATTTTGTAAAATTAATTAAACAATCCATTTAGTTTCTAAAACTAATCACTTCAAACTTATGTTCATATTAATAATTTGTCGACGTACATTCTGTTTTTGTATAATTAACTCAATTGTGAACAGTCGCTAACTATCATCTATAGCTCCATGAATTGGATACTACATGGAAAAATAATTTCCACGTATGCAAAAATTGGATCCACGTACCAGATGAATGAAATCGTATGAATTGAGCTGTACATGTTAGAGACCAATAGAAGCAAAAATTTTAATGTCGTAAGCATTCGAGTCTTATTGTTATTTGATCATAATTTACAAGGATTTCTAATCGTTTTAAGGATGAGATTAAGATTTATATTTTAGAATAAAGGGGTTTGTACTTCACTATTTAATAAAGATCATTACGTCCACGACCATATTATACGATTCATGCACATAGATCATACCTTAAATCAATTTCATTTCTTACTTAATAGTTTAATTTTTAAAATTAAAATAATTTTTCATTATGATATAAGAAACAGCTCACTTCTGATTAATTAAAAAATAAACATTAAAAAAATATAAATAATATTTTAAAACCTCGTTTAATAGTTTAAATTTTTAAATTAACATAATTTTTTTTAACTGAGAATCAATGTCCATCGCATTTATTCCCCAACACACACACAGACAGACAGACAGATAGAATGCCAAAATGGACCCGGAACTAAATGCAAACCCGACACCTAGCTTTCACGTTTTTCTTTTTGTACGGTAATTAAGGCTCTCTAGCTTGATTTTAGATTACTCAAAGCTCGAAAGTAATGGGCTGTTTATATATATATATATCAACTTGTGGAACCGTACGTATAGTTCGACTGTGAAGATAAGTCATGGAAGAATTACAGTTCAATTGAGGAAGACTGTCTATTGAATTGAGTGATGCTAGTTGGTGGATTACTTTCTGTAAGAGAAAAGATTGATGATGAGATTTCAAAGGGAGAAGGGAGCTAAAGAAACAGAAAGAAATCAAGTATTTAGCAAACAAATTGGGTTCTGCTTTTGTTCCTAATTTCTTTAACATCCACTTGTAAGGAATCCCAGCTCGTGGCTATTTAATTTAAGCATTTGGAGATTCATGTGCAATGCTTTTTATTGGTTTCCACTAAGCCCATTTGCCCATGTAAACCCAAGGCTGAAGATAGCCCCGATGCCCACACTAACAAGCCCGAGGGCCTTTTTGTTTTTTCCCTAGTTTCTCCAGCCTCAGCCCAACCAAGGCTTCGGGCTTCAGGCCTTCCTAGGCTCTTGTTCAGCTTCACCAGGTCCTCCAGCACAGCCCATAATTATAGCCCAGCCCTATCTAAATACCAAACCCCAGCCCAAGCCCCCTTTCTTTTTCCATCCCGTGTTCCTTCTTCTTCAGACTCGGATTAGTTTCCAGTCTGTGTCAGGATTTTAGAACTTGTACTCCCCAACTTGCCCCCCTCTCTCTATATATATATTTCACAAACCCTGAACGTTCCTATATCTAATACTAAGCAACTTATTTTTCTTCATTGTTGTCTGTTTTGGTTTTTCTTGAATTGCGTTTAATACAACAAGAAGATATCGCAAAAGATGACATTTTATGGCAGCCAAATTAGTGATCATGATCATGATGGGGATCAGTTAGTTATTGATTTTGATCATGAATGTGATGGCGATGGCGATGGGGATGATGAGTTTGACAAAATGCTTCAGCATATCAGAGAAGTAACTAGTGATGAATGTGAGACAATTTCATTGCTCACAGAAAAAGTTGTGGAGGAGTTTGTGCGGTACAATATAACAAGTGGTAAAAGAGACTGTTTAAATGGCAAGAACGACGTTGATTTATCCACATGCAAGAAGAAGAGAGGAAGCCAAGATCATATTGTGTTTAAATCCAAGAAAAAGGGGAACAATAAGAAGAACGGATACTCCTGTTCTATAATTAAGAGTAGTAGTACTGAAGATAACCTCAAAGCTAAGAAAAAGGAAAAGAAAACGAGAAGGAACGATATGGACAGTGATATTGATGATAAGGAAGAAAAGGGCATTAAGAGGTCGACAACGAAAAAAAGAAGGTTGAAAAGGTAGACCTGAAGAAGTTGGGCTTGTATCAACTAGATTTCTCTGATGAAATAAAATCCCTGATATCATGGCAAGAGGGTACTGACAAGGATTTCAAGTTAAGAATAACGAAAATATTGTTTCCAACTGATATGAACGACCACCATGATCGTTTATCAATGCCCATGAATCAAATAAAGGATTTCCAAGGGCTTCTAAAAGATGAGGAGGAAAAGGAATTGTCCAAACCCAAAACAGAAACTGATGGCCTTATGGTGAAGCTCTTTGATTTGGCCTCCACTGGCCGTACTCCTGGCCATAATAATGATTGTGTTTTAACAATGCGTTTGAGGAAGTGGGACTGGAACATGAAGAAAAGCTGCTCCTACATGTTAACTTCATGGAAGAACGTTTTGAATAAGAGGGTGCTCCGGACAAATGACGTTGTGCAGATTTATTCCTTTAGGCGCAATGAAAACCTGTGTTTTGCACTCATTAAGGTCAGTGATGGGCAAGGTTGCAGAGATGGTGCATTTGGAAGCAGCAGTAGCAATACTAATCAAGGGAATGGTGCAAGTGCGAGTAGTCAAGGAAAGATCAATGAAGATAGGGCTAGCTAGCAGCTGCTGGCAGTAACATTGATAGTTACAGTGATTCTTGCTTGATTAATTAACAGCTTTAGTAGGTTGCTAATTATGAATGTAAGTGATTGCTTCTAATGTATTGGGATTTATTAATTAGCATTCAGTTTTGTTTCCCCATCTCTCTTGTTATGTGTTTCTGATTCGATTAGGGTTTATTCAAGAGTTTAGATGATTTTTCTATTAAATGTTATTCGTGCTTTGTTATGCATGAAATTTTACTGCGAGTGTTCAATTATGGTTTTTGTATAACGGGTACAAACCAAGCTAATGGAAACAGAGGATTTGGGTAAATATAGGTGGTATGATATTCCTGGCTTCCTTTAAAATTTGACTAGGATAGGTAGATCCATGAGCTACATAGAAAACCATAAGGCCATAGGCTTTATGAACTCTTAATTTCACAGGTGTACAGACATCTGCTTAATTTGGCTAACTAAGAACATTTAAAAAGACAAAAGCTGATATTTTGAATGCTTAAACGGCACAGGGAGTAAACTTACAGAATCCCCGAAAAAAGAGAGAACGCCTAGAGCTCCAGCTTCGAATTTACCATAAAACTTCAGCTTTAATTAAAGGCTTGCAAGCCGCTGAATACAATTAAGGATGAAAAGCAATTAGTGAAGTCATGATGTTGTATGAGCTTTTGGTAGCTCAACACTTAACAAACAGAGACCATAAATAGGCTGCAAGTGGTCGAGGCAGAAAATAGAGCTTCTCCTTCTAACATGGTTAAAAGATTCCACTACTTACGCATGCAGACAGCTATAAAAAAATAAATCCCCCTCCCCTCCAACCCAACGGTGTCCAGTCTTTTAATGCACGCACCAGTTTGTTGCAGTGTCTGCGTGTTTGGACGACGCAACTGGATAGGTGGCTTTCAAATGGAACGTTTGGTTCATAATATAGTATCAAGGCCTAGCCCATCACACCTATACTTCACTTAATGTGAAGTCATGTATTTAATATAAATATTTAATTAAAAAGAGTTGAAAACTCATCTCACGTAAACTCCAATAGAAAATATGAAAGCTTAAAAGTACGAACACCAATAATATCATTAAGTCCAAAACCGAGATAGATTAACACAATCTCATAACACTGTATAATCCCAACCAATGGATTCTTATCTTATTTTCGTCATCTTGTCTTTATTTACAGTTCATTTCAGCCTTACGCTTTGGTACTAGAATACAAACCCTACACTAATACTTTTAATAAACTAATCCATAAACTAAGGTTCCCACCCACCCCCCGGCGTCTTTTTAATATCTCCGTACTTATGTACATATATCAAGGCATAAGGTCAAATACATGGGCAGAGCCATGTTTTACATAGCGATTAGAAAAATAACTATTAAATCTGATTATAATGTACTTTTTTAGTGATTTTAATTACTAATGTGGTCCAGCTAGAAGTGTTGAAAAACTCCCAAGTTTTTTTGCTCCCTCGTATTTTCTTTTTTTCTTTTTACAACAACACGGTCATTTAGTTGATATTAAACTTTTTTTTCTTAGAATTTCTAATATTTGTATTTCCAATCTAACAACATATAATTTATTTAAATTACAATTTAGTAATTTAATTCTAAATAGGGAAAATTACAAAAAAAAAAAAAATCCTTTGAGATATCAAGAGATTACTGTGACTATCCAAATATTTGAAAATATTACAAAAAAAAAAAAAAACTTCTCAATTTTAAGTGAATATTACGAAAATTCCTTTTATATCCAAAAGCGTAATATTTTTTTAAATTAGTTCCCTTAACATTAAATGTGTTTTGGGTATTAAAAAAGAAATTTTGTAATATTTTCAAATTTTTGAATGATTACTGTAATTTCATAATATTTTAAAAGAGTTATTGTAATTGACCTTTCTAAATATTAATTAGTAATATAGTTGTTCATTTATATATTTTTTTTATCTTATCTATAGCAATGATAATAAGGTTATCATACTCAAAAATATAAAAAAATTATCATAAAAATTATAAAAGACATATCATTCATTCATTATATTGTGTTTGTTTTTCTAACACATTTAATCTTTTTTTTTTGAAAAACTAATTATTTAGTTTCTTAGTGTTGAGCACATTTAATTTAATATCTTTTTTTTAAAAATATTTTTTAATCAATCCTTCTATAATATTTCAAAAAATAAAAATAAAAAAATAAAAGAGACAAAAATACTAAATAATTAATTTTTGAAGCAAAAGAGACTAATTAATATGTTACTCAAAACTAGAGGGACTAATTTATAATTTACTCAATATAAATATTCAGCTGCTAGTAATGGACCAAACAGAAAAAGTTCTGGGCCCCACCACTAGGAAAAATTATATAAAAAGAAGCTAAGGTGGCTCAATTTTTGTTGACCTAACTGTACAATCTCAAAATTTAGGGATAAAAATATAATTTAGCATTTGTTTGTTATGACTCTTTGTCTTAAGTGAGAGTCACTGCGCCTTCTTCTTTTGTCATTTTTTTCTTAAGTCATGCATTATCGTTTAACTTTCATGAATTAAGAGTTAAAACTAAATTTTTTTCCCTATAGCTTACATTGTAACCTTGTCTTGGCATTGCTATTTTCATTCTTTTGATACAATATAAGTAATTGCCCTTAACAATATTTGTAATTTATCCTAAACTATTGAACTTTATATCTATGTTTATTTTTGAAGGGATAAAACGATTTTGAGTGCATATATTGATATAATTTTTCACAATTGAATGTCTGATTTTAAATTTTATTAAAGTAGGTGTTTGATTTTTTTTTTTTAATTTCGTACAGTAAAATATTTAAATGGATGCTCGCTAATCAAATGTTTATCAAATATAAGAAATTGGGCTATCTTTAAATTTACTTTTGATGGAGGAAAAACTAAAGTTTGGGAACTAAAAGAAATTTTTCGTGTATCTAAATTATCAAACGTTATATATGTGTGCGTGCATACGTAAGCGTTTTTTTTTTTTTTTCTATATATATATATATATTAGATTTCAAATTTTTATTAATGTCGTCAGTCTTAGATGTTATTTTTCATCAGAAGAATCAATATTTGACTAATATACATTAATTAAATATTTTATTTAAACAAAACTAAAAACCAAACACTTAATTGTAAAAATCCCAAAAATTCAGACACTCAAAATCGTGTTATCCTTATCTTTTATTTCTAATTGATTTGCTTAATTACACACACATATATATAAAACAATGTAGTGCATAAATTTTCTAGAGAAATCTATAGTAGAAAGGATTGTTGTCTTGCATGGCTTCATAGATCACGAGATTCTTCCTTCCCCTATATATCACCGCAACTTCATTGGTAAATACCGCGATAAGTAACACATGACCACAACTAAAAGGTCTCCCAATTGCTTGCATGATCATTTTTATCACATATGATAAGCATTATGTCCAATACCTTAAAGCAACAGCACATATGATTCCAATAATAGCAAAACGGGTTCGAACCCATTTTTGGAGGATTATAAATGGTGCTGCACCTTCACATCATAATCAAACGAAAGGAAACATGAGGAGTTTCAGTGGGTTGGTTTTGTCAGTCACTTTAACACTAGTATTATTAGCCACCAGAACTTGTACACAGCCACAGCAACCACAGCAAGGGCAGGTGCCTTGTTTTTTCATTTTTGGGGACTCATTGGTGGACAATGGGAACAACAATAGGTTGCTTACACTTGCTAGGGCTAATTACAGGCCCTATGGCATTGATTTTCCGCAGGGCACCACTGGTCGATTTACCAATGGTCGAACATACGTTGATGCCTTGGGTAAATTATTTCTTTCGTGCATGATCTGTAAAAAGCATATATACGGACCTAGACGTCGTTATTATTGCTATATTATGTCCATCATATGAACGTGTATCTATCTTAACTAGATTATACATTTTGCAGCTCAACTTTTTGGATTTCCAAATTACATTCCTCCCTATGCGAGAACTAGGGGTCCAGCACTTTTAAGGGGTGTGAATTATGCATCTGGTGCAGCTGGGATCAGAGATGAAACCGGAAACAATCTGGTAGTGGGCAACATTTTTACAATTAATCTCTCAATGCATATGCAAGATAGAGCAGAAATGTACGGTATGATTCGAAGCTAAAGATATGTGAATGTTTTGTTAGGGGGATCACATGTCAATGAACCAACAAGTAGGCAACTTTGGCACGACAGTGCAAGAAATGAGGAGGTATTTCAGAGGAGATAACAATGCAGTCACTAGTTATTTAAGCAAATGCATCTTCTATTCTGGGATGGGAAGTAATGATTATCTCAACAACTATTTCATGTCCGACTTCTATTCGACTAGCCATGATTACACTACAAAAACTTTTGCTGCTCTACTTCTCCAGGATTACACACGTCAGTTGACTGTAAGTACCTAGATGATCACTATCTGATTTTTAGTTTTTTTTCAAACTATTCCTGCTGAGAGAGGAAATTAACATGTTGGTTTTCGAATTTCAGCAATTATATGCCTTAGGAGCTCGGAAAGTGATTGTAACAGCAGTTGGCCAAATTGGCTGCATTCCCTATGAGCTTGCACGGTATAATGGTAACAACAGCCGCTGCAATGAAAAAATCAACAGTGCTATTTCTTTATTCAACTCAGGACTCCTCAAGCTAGTTCAAAGTTTCAATAAAGGCCAATTGCCTGGAGCTACATTTGTATTCCTCGATTCCTATAAAAGCTCTAGTGATCTGTCTCTCAATGGAACCTCCTTAGGTAATTTAATTATTATTTGCATAGTAAATTTCGATTTGATAGCTCAATTTGTTTTTTATATATAATGAGGCAATTCTTTAATTTATTTTTATATTTTTAATTGAAATAATTTTATTTTTAAATATTCATTAAATTTCTAATTTATTTTTCTAGTAAGTTTTTCACACCTAACCACTTATATTAGTCGCGTGATGTGCATATAAAAACCTTCTATTTGTTTTAATTACTTGCAAGAGAATTTTGAAAATAGAAAATAATTATATTCAAATCATGTGATTAATTCTGATGGATTGGTTTGAAAATCTTAATAAAAGAATGAATTAGAAATTTAATGTATATTAAAATATAAAACTAATTCAATTAAGAATATAAATATATATTAGAGAATTACCTTATTATATAATAATGACCTAGCCATTAACTCGTAAACTTTTTCATAGAAACCTCAAAATCCTGCCCGATTATCCTACAATATTGCATATGATTACAAGTATGTATGTTTTGAATTGTGAGAATAATATGCAGGATTTGAAGTGGTGGACAAGGGATGTTGTGGAGTTGGGAGGAACAATGGGCAGATAACATGTCTTCCTCTTCAACAACCATGTCCGGATCGCAGTAAATACTTATACTGGGATGCCTTCCATCCGACTGAAGTGGCAAACATCTTGCTGGCTAAATCAACGTATAGTTCCCAATCTTACACTTATCCAATGAGCATACAGCAATTGACAATGGTATGAGAGAGGGATCAGATTGAACTCTTTATGCCTGTCTTCTTGTAATAGTACTACGTATCTTTTGTGGGTTCTTATAATTTGTTTTAAGCTATTGCACTTAATACTAAATGTTAATGCATGTGTGGAAGGTGGTCTAGTTGTTAATTTCCTTGTTTCGTAAAACCAATTTTAGTAGGGTCTGTAATAAATGTGGTGAGATTGAGATAATAAAAGCAATTGAAAATTTCTACTAGTTAATTATCACCAGTCACAACTATCACATTTAGCAACAGAGACACATTTTCAGGAATCCAAGGCAAATCATTGTACTTTCCAGGGAAATTTTTCCTAAAAACAAAGTCTCCCAACATGGTCCCTAAGAATTTCCAAAACTAATGATTCCCCAGAAGTCCAAGCATCTTCTGTAGCAGAGAAAAGCTCATATTTAAGAAAAAAACAAAAAGGAAAACAACTAGGACTCTTATTTTGGACATTGGAAGAGGAGTTAATTTCGTAATACATGGATCAAATCTTCGGCCTTTGGGTAACTTATACGCGTTACGTTGATTACTTGGGATCATATTTGGATGGATCAATACAAAATGTGTTGTTTCGAACTCTTACTGCAGTTGGAAGAAGTTAAGACACCTCGGATACAGTAAGAGGCAGAGCCCGGTTTTGAACTCGAGGGAGCATAATTCTAATGCGTGTCAAATAACGTACAAATGCCATAAACGACGCATAATACTTAGCAGCAGCAGACAATGCTTGCAGGTTTTGGTTCAAGATATTGATTAAGAATTTAAGAAACTCACCAACGCGAAGCACTGGTCAAACATACTTGTAGACAAAGAAATTAAAATTGGCAACATATCTGTTGAAATTATTTCAACTGCATTAATTACAGCTTAGTATCAAGAATTAGACTGCAGGGACAACTGTTGGTCGATCTGCTTTCTTTCTTACTCATTCCCAGGCATAGAAAATCACAGCAGAGAGCAAAGCATCAAAAGAGGTTTTCTTGCAAGGGATTATCAGCAAAACCAAATCAAAGTAGTTGCATTAATGGCAGCGATTAGAACATACACATGCACAACATTCTTTGATTTCGAAATATAAAACAAATTACTACTCTCAGAGATCGGTAACGTAATAAAAATCAAGAAGATGGCATGAAATGAAACAAGGGTTTCTGTTAATCGGACTCAATATCAAGATTGGCAAGCTGCTCTATGTTCATTGGATAGACCATGCTCAAGTCCCCATTGAAGGCTTTTCTCCCCATCAAAACATTCACAGCTTCTGTTGGATGGAATGCATCCCAAAATACATACTGTTCTCTGTCAGGACAAGGTGTTTGGAATGGAAGACAGGTAATTTGGCCTCTATTTCGCCCAATGCCGCAGCATCCACGGTTTACAACGCTAAATCCTACAAAGAAAGTAGTTCAAACAAATATTAGCAAGAAATTTAAAAATATTCAGGAACCAATACACACACACATAATTAGAACCAAGATGCACATACCATATGCTGGGGAGTTGGTGAGGATTTCTCGGAACATACGAGCAACATCAATAAAAGTGAATTTTGCACCTGGCAACTTATTGGAATTGAAGTTGTTGAGCATAGCCTTCACGTTTTCATTGAAAGGTTGAACTAGCTGGTTCACCGAATCAGAGCAGAGTCCTGCAGGGTTCTGGGCCAAGATGCTAGGAATACACCCCATTATTCCTAACCCGGCAATGACGAATTTACGTGCTCCAAGATTGTAAAGTGTAGTGAGTTGCCGGCTATATTCTCGAGTCAAGAGATCCGCAAATTGTCTGCCATTATACTGATTCCGGGTTTGATAGTTAGGCATGAGATAGTTATTAAGGTAGTCATTGCTGCCCATCCCAACAAAAAATATGCTTTGTCCAACTTGCCTAGCTAAATTATCTGCACCAACAGTATTTGAAATCTGATCAAGTGTATTCTGAAAGTTCTTTATCTGTTCATCGAATGGTATGCGACCGACCTGATCAAAACAATAATACATCCAAAATAGTTAGCTGATTTTACTTTAAAGGAACCACGCAAGTTTAATTTGGTCATGTGCATGTGTTGGCCAACCATGCAAGTATGATGATGCATAATACTTAAGTGAAGTCGACATGTATGAGTGGATATATATGCTTACAAAATTTCTGCCTGTGATATCAAGGATTCCGGCAGCTGCAGAGGCATAGTTGACTCCATTAAGCACTTGATCTCCTGATGCCTCAGAGAAAGGAGGAATCAGAGGAAGTCCCAGTTGTTCAGCTGCCAAAGAAAATGGAGGAAAAAAATGGTAATCATAAAAAGAACCGCTTCAAGGTGGCATCATATTGTTGGCCAAATGCTTTTAATTTTCACAAATGTGTGTGCGTAGCCAACTTCATGGAGTATGCTGCATTCAAATCTTTTGTGATTATTATCTCAAGAATGAAAAAATGGCTTTTCGTATCAAGAAACCAACAGAAAAGAAAATAAAAGAGGTGTAAAAACTGACTCGAAAACAAAGAGAAACAGAATACAGGTCTAGAATGACTGTTTAAACATCATTCTACTCTCCATATTTCAAGTGGTTTAAAATAAGTGCAAAAATGTAAAATTGTACCAAGAAAAGAAAGAAATAAATGAAAAAACTCCTTTCCTGAAATAAATATGCATCCTCTAAACAATCTTTCGTCTGATTATCAAAGGGAGGAGGAAAAAAAAAAAAAGAGGAAACAGCGATCATGAAAAAAAGTCTGCATGGGATTCTGAGCTCAAATAAATACTACATGAAAACTTAACATAAATGAAAGAAAAAACAAAGAAGATGGCAGTGAGAGATCTACCAATTTCATCAACCATGGTGTAACCATTGGAGAAACGACCAGTAGGACCACCATTGAAGTCAATACCATAAGGGAAATAGTTGGCCTTGGCCAAAGAAGGAAGGTTATTGTTGTTCCCATTGTCAATGAGTGAGTCTCCAAATATAAACATAGCAGGCACCATCTCCCTTCTCCTTCCTACATTCGGCCCAAATGGATCCACATTCTGGCCTAAACCAACACCCAAAACCAAGAAAATCACCAGCATGCAAGGCAGCTTGAAGTTAGCCATCTTGAGAGAGAAAGAGATAAGCGGGAGGGAGAGAAAGTAAGAGTAGTGTAACTGTAACAAGAGTGATTATTGAAGTGGTGTAATGTAAGAAAGAGTTGAGGTGTTTTGTGAGTGTACATGAAAGGAGCTTTAATAGAGGGTCTGAGGTGGGTAGTTGAGAACTAGTTAATGTAGTCATCTGTTTTCTCCATTGCAGTAATTACACTCTGGTATGTGCAGAGCACCCAAATACATGCATCCATTTTCTGACTTTTCAGATTTTTCTTCATCATCCCTTCTGATATATATCCCAAACTTTGAACAAATCCTTAAAAATTATCCATTCAAATATCACCCATGTACACTCCAATATATATATATATATATATCCGCAACTTTGTAACAAACAATTGAGAAGATTAAAATGCTGACTTGGATTAGCAAGTAGCTTATGTGGCACGTAATATTTTATTTTGATAAATAAGATTAAAGCAATCTTATTAGCAATCTTATTCCAATCATAGCTGTCTGTAACCATTTCACCAGCCATTATTTGTTACTAATAAATAATGATAACGAACGGCTGATAGAGAAAGTAAAATTTAAGATACGCCATTCGCTACTGCTATCTATGACTGACGTGTTGTAGTATTAGACAATCATCTTTGTGATGGTTCTGAATGTAATTTTCTTTTTTGGTTAGTTTTTTTAAATAAATTTATTGAGTAATTATTGTGTATGTAAAATAATTATTTTTTGAATATTTAAAATTTCTCATGTATCAAGAGTATAATTATCTTCTAATAGATTGGGTTAATTATGCTTGTGGTTCCTTAATAATTGCGATTTGATTAATTGGATCTCCTTTTTATTAATATGATTAACGAGATCTCTTTACAATGTATTTCGTTTATAATTAGGACTTTTTTTCTATAACGCTACCAAAAGCAATTTTTTTTGACTTATTGCATGTGAGGCACGTGTCCATATACTTAATATGACTTTATTTTTAATTTTTAAAGCAAACAAATGGCTTAAAATGAAATTTATTATATTTTATCAAGGTTTTTCTATCAAGGTAAATGTATATTTTCAGAAAGTTTCTATATTAATCTGGTAAAATACATGCTAACTGTTAATGAATTGTAACTTAACTAGTGTTAATATTCTGATATTTTCAAAAGAATTCCAGTTCAAACATCCTTTTTTTTTTTTTTTTTTTTTTTTTCAAAAAGCTAGGTATTGAAGATAGAATTGGAAGATTCTTGAAAATTTATTTGTCACATGATCGGACATTTTGAACGAGAGTAATTAAAGAGAAAACATACTCCTTCAACCATCTAACCAACCGGCCTTGATGATATTGTAGGAAGCCCTTGAAATTTCATGATACAAATATCATGAAAATTTCATGACTTGAAACTTTTATAATAAATGCAACCTTTTTCATACGTTAGTACAGTAGGTGATCATTTCGATGCCAAAACAGAAATGTTGCAAAGGAGCACTTATGCTGCCTAATTAAAAAAAAATAAAAAATGATATTTAGACGCATGGCTCGTCCATGGAAAGTAATGGAACTAACAATTTTATTGTCCACTTTGCTTTGTTCATGCATCAGTCTTTAAGCTCCCAGTTTCCAGTTTTAGGCTTTCATGTGGAACTATATATGCTGAATTACATGTGCATTATTAAGCAAGGTTTTGGATACAATAAGGGTAGGTTTGCTTTCGAGGACTCAAAAGAATGCTGGAATCTCAAAACAGAGGCTGCTCTGCCAGGAGTTAATTGAATCAAATTACCAGACCCATAATTCTTATGGCCCCCCATATCTACTAAATGCTCAATTATTAATATATAACTACGAACCTCGCATTTGATACTTAATTTGGTGTACATTAATTATACGTGTGATACATGTTTTCTTTTTTATTACAAAAAAAAGATTTGAAGTTCTAATTTTTTGGGAAAAAAATAAATAATAAATTCAACGTCAGTTAAGTTACAGCGTATTAACTAGTGGCATACAATTAATTTTTTTTTTCGAAAACACATGAGTTTTTGGGCTATAAAATAGCAATACATTTTTTTTTCTGATATACAATTTTATTTTTTTTAATCGTAAACTCATGAGCTTTTAGACCATATAATAAAAGTAATTTTTTTCTTATTACATAATCACCAGAAAGTACTTAAAGTCTTTAAAATCCGAACCTTATTTAACTTGAAAAATTAATTACGTACACAACTATATTTAAGTTAAATCTATTTATACCTAATCATGTATATTTTAAGTTTATATTAAATATTTGATAATCCTTAACAAGAATGTTTTGAACCTCGTTTTTAATTAGACAAACCCTTAAATTAAGGTGCTCTTTTAAATGTGGCTGTCCATATGCCCTAAGCAAGAAATCGTTGGATTCCACAAATCTTAATACATATTTAACTAGAATAATATAAATTATATTTTGAGGCTTTAAATTTTTAGATGAGATGGTCTTTTAGTATGATATCAAAGTTTGATTGATCATGTGGTTCCGAGTTCAAGTCTTACCATCCTCAATTTCTCAAATATTAAGCACAAGGCAATGTGGACTCGTGTCAATTTCTCAAGTATTAAGCATAAGATAATGTATATTTGTGCGAGTTTCAAGTTCAAATGTTCAAATGTTGAGGCTTTCACTTGAAGGAGTATGTTAGACAATGTGAATGCATGCAAGTTTCAAACCCAAATGCCCAAATATTAGGGCTTTCACTTAAAATGATGTGTTAAAAACTAATATAAATTATATTTTGAGACCTCATCTATCGACTTAAACTTTTAGGTGAAATGATCATTTAATATATATGTATAAATTTAACATTTCATTTTATTTCTTATAGATTATTTTATATGTCGTTAATTATGTTTACGAAAGTAACATATATATATATATATATATTTGATGAATTGAAATCAAAATTATGTTATCTATATTTGATACTTCATCTATTTAATTATATATAGATTTTATTATTGAAATTGATTATCAATTGCATTTTCAATATACGTATTTGAGCAGGGGATGCATAAAATGATTTTTGTTTGGAATAATGCATTTTATAATTTGATTTACATGTTTAATTATTAAATCAACTTGTGGATTAAAATAGATGTTCCATAATGTTTAAGTTCTTCCCACGTGTCAAGAACTCATGTGTCAACTATACAAATTCTCTATTTTTTTAACTGTAAATCTTGGTGACCGGTTTACCCATTTTCTTCCATACTCTTTAAATACTAAAGTCCACTCCACGGTTCATGTTTTCAAAAGCAGGGGCATTTAATGCAAGCAACGCATTCCTGTAGTAGAGAATTCTCCACATTATGATTCTGCGGTAAGCTGCCAAGAACCCAGTTTCGGATTTCACAACTTGATGGCAATATTGGTGAATTCAGCTAAAGGAAATAAATTATAAAATAAACAAAAAGTTGAAGGGAAATCTTTTTTTTTTTTTTAAATTCCTCACTATATTTTTATTTCAAAAATCTAAACTAATACATCGTTAATATATCGTTATGTTCTGTCTGGTACATAATACGGTAACAACTCCGGTTCTACGTATAAAAAAAATAAGCAGCAGAAGATCTGATTTGTCAAAGTCAATTTATCATCGATGGATGCAAATGGTTTGAAACTTTATCTGCACCTCGGAATTGTATAGAAGATCGATCCCTTGGTGTTGAGAATAAAAGAATTCCTTCCCAATATCACTCAGACAAAGATTCATTAATTATACAACAAAAGTCAACTCCTTCAAAAAAGAAAAGAAAAAATTATTATTAGAGATATTGCATGTCTTTAAAATCAGATTGGTATTTTTAGAGGAAGATGAAATTTGCATGTGAAAGGAAACTGATTTGAAACTCTGCAGCCTCCATACAGACGCAACGGTTCTGCAGCTCATTCAATTCCCTCTCGTGAAGTTTCCAACTCTCAACTTCCCTTTGTCGATATTGGGATTCCCTAGATAACCATTAACCACCATGTGGTAATAAAGCGATCGCTTGCTTGCTTGCATGCGTTTGGGCACTTGATTGGCCGTATGCATTCATCATGGTTTCACTCTTGCGCCAGAGTATCTTTGGAAAACCCCCCTAAACGGCCCCTGCCTTTCTATCAATTCGCTAAATTCGACCTTATAAAAAACATTGGGACAAATCTATATATATTTTTTCCAGTCATTGCATCCTAATTGGACTAAATTCCATTAAATTATAAGATGAATATCAATTAAAATTTTCAAAGATGTTTAAGGAGTGAAAAAAAATTAGACTAAAAAAATAAAATTTTCAAAAATACATTTGAATCTTTCTATCAAATAACCATCTCAATTTAAAAAATTAAGTTTTGATCTGTTACTATATGCCATTTAGAAAAATTCTAAAAAATTTCAAGTTTTCGGACCGACGACGACGTGATCCCGTCACTAGTACTGTTGCTATTTAGTGTTGAACATAAATGTCTAGTGCCAATCCTTTGTAAAATCAATGACTATTTAATTGTAGAAGGCGACCTATTTTTTTATAACCAGCAATAGAAACATTCACATTGTGAATTATTCACTATTTCGCAACAAAAATTAAGTTTCTATCGCTATTTCATCGTTAAATAAACGATTTTATATTTCAAAAGGTCACCTATTTTTTTAGATCACTATAAAAAAAATAGGCGATTTGAGAGGGGATATTAGCGACGGTCTAAAAACCATTGCTAAATTACTGAATTTGTGACGATTCGAAGAAATTTAGTGACGGTTTTAAGACCGTCGCTAAATACTTTTCAAATGACTCGTATTTAGCGACGGTCTTCAATAAACAATCTCTAATTGACCAAAAAATTAGCGATGGTTTACCGGACCATCGCTATTTAAATTTTTTCTTTCTTTTTTGTTTTGAAAGCCAATTTACGATGTTTTTTTTTTATAAAAAATCATCGCAAATGAGTAAATTAGTGACGAGCTTTTAAAACCATCAC